GATACGAAAATCATGATTTTACCAACCATCTTTTCTGAACCTCAACCTTATAAACACTGATTCTGTTAAAAGTAGCATACTCCTTTGTATTTAATTGTTAAAGTATCTGTTTCTAAGCTAAACTATAAGCCCTCTGTGAAAAAAGGTTGTCTTATTATTCTGATCCTTTTGTTTGTTCTGGAATGGCACTTTACTAGCTTAAGACTCTTATGTAGGTGATAAGATACACAATAAATGAATTAATTTATTGTGTTTAAAGGTGGTTGAAGAGATGTTAGGTTATATATTTCATTGTGGATTTCTAAAAAAAAAAAAGAGTATAATTATGTAACCCCTCTGTTTATCTAAGATGTTCATATCTGTATATGTATTTAAATGCATATAATATGTGCATATATAAATACATGTTTGATATAAAATGATATATTTATTGTTTTAATCAAATATATAATATACATATATTGAGTTATTTTATATAATTATAAATTGATATATACACACATATAATCTGTGAATATATGTTTATGTATATATTAGATGTTAAAATTTATATAAATATTAATGATTTTACTTTAATATCTTTTTGTATTATTTTTCATTGAAGTAGCATTGGTTTGCAACACTGTATATGATTCAGAGGCATTGGGCTCATACCTCTTCAGATGTTACCACACCACACCCACTACCAAGGCACCCACAGCCCTCTATCATAGTCCTTTAGGCCTCCTCTATAGTATACTCCATACCCTCAACTCTCCCTCTGGTAGCCTCAATTCTACAGTCATTTTAGGGCGGTTGTTTTGAATTAGTTTTGACTGTACTTTTGTTTTGTTCCTCTGTATTCCACATATGAGTGAAATTGTCTGATATTTGCCTTTTGCCTCTGACTTATTTTGCTTAATTCCTTTAATAGGTTTTTCACTCTTGTATTTTCAGTTGCATTTTAGTGGTTGCTCTAGAATTTACCACATATATCTTAATTTATTAGCATCTACTTCAGATTTATACTAATTTAATTTAGATTTATACTAACGTAATTCAAATAAGATATAGAAATCTTACTCTAATATAGTTCTATTTCATTTTTCACTATTATTTTTATGTTTATTACATCTATATAGTTTGAAAACCCATCAATACTTAGAGGTATTAGTTTATATAATTGTACTGCTTTTAAAGAAGCTGAGATAAGAGAATAAATATATATTTGTAACATCTATTATATTAACCTTATTATTTTCCATTTCTGTATCTCTTCATTTCTTCCTGAGGATTTATTTGCCATATGGTTTTATTTCCTTACTCCAAAACAGATTTATTTTCACCCACCTCCTTTAATCTGTTAGTGCTAAATATATTGCATTTCTATATGTTTTAGCCCCAACAGTGCAATGATATATTGTGTATCAAAGAGCAATTGTGTAATATTTATTTATAAAATAAGTATTTATTTACACAATTGCTTTTAAAATGAGATAAGAAAAAAGTGAAGTAATATGCCCTTAAGGTTCTGTAATTACATAAATACTTTTACTGGTGGTATATATATTTTTTTTGGTTTCAGTTCTATGTAGATTTATTTACATGATTTCTGCCTGAAGAACTTCATGTATTTTTCTTGAATGTAGGCCAGCTAGCAATAAATCCTCTCAGTATTTGTTTTTGGAAATGTCTTTATGTTGCCTTAATTTTTGAAACATACTTTTTCTAGATACAGCATTTTGAGGTTTTAGCAGCTTATTTTTAGGGGAGGAACTTTGGTTATTTTATTCACTGCATTCTGGATTTTATTGTATCTGATAAGAGTCACCTGTTAATCTTATGTCTCCATAAGTGATAAGTTACTTGCAGCTTTCAAGATTTTCTCTTTGTTTTTGCTTATCAATATTTTTATCATGATATGTCTGGGCGCACATCTCTTTCACTTATTCTGCCTCTAGTTCATCAAACCTCTATATGTGTAACTTACTCTTATTCATCAAATTTGCAAATATTCTTCAAATATTTCCTATTCTCCTTTTTCTCTTTCCTATTCTTATGGTGCTTCTACTACAAATATGATGTTTCCCACAATTCACTGAAGTTATGCTCATTTTTCTGTATTTCTTTTTCTCTTTGTTCTTCAATGTATTAACAGTCTTTCCTCAAGTTCATAAGTTCTTTTTCCTGCCAGTTCCAATCTTTAGTAGAACATTTCTAGTGAATTTTTCATTTTGGTGATTGTACTTTTCAACTCAGACTTTCCATGCTGTTCTTTTTTAAAAATTTTCCATCTTTTTATTGTTATTTCCTATTTGATAAGACATTGTCAGCATATCTTTTTTAATTCATTAAAAATAGTTTCCTCTACATTTTGAGAATATTTATAATAAATGCTTTGCAGTTTTTGTTTGAACCAACCTTTGGGTTCCTTCAAAAGGCAAATAATATCTAGTATGTTCTTTATTTCCTATGTCTGAGTCACATTTTCCCGTTTCTTTGCACATCACATATATATTTGTTGAAAAAAGAACACATAGTTCCTTGTGGTTTTGATACCTTTTCCCATTCCTCTAGGTCTATTTGTTGCTATTATTTGTTAATATACTGTAGCAATTCTGGACTTTTGACCCATGGCTCAGATTTTAGCCGTGTCATTATTTGTATTTTGCTTGTTTTTGCTTAGTTTCTTGAGTGAACTAGTTCTTATCTTGGGCTAGTTTGCCTGTTCTACAGAGGGACCAGGTAGGAGAAGACAGTCTCAATTTTTTCACTGCCACTTTTCTGAAACTAGCTTTTGCTATATCGAACTGAGTAGGATTGGATCTGTCCCACTTGCACTTGTAATGCAGTTTTAGACCTGGAGCTGGGGGAGAGTGTGTTCCACTTTTGTGACAGAATTCTGACATATTGATCTTGGGAGGGCTCAAATACTATAGATTCAGAGTGTTCTTACTGAGATTTATTTCTTGAGTAAAAATTTATTCATTTTCTTACATGTCATTAGGACACTTTACAGAGATTTCAATGGTGGTTTTATAATATGCACAAGTGATTGTTTAGCTGGGAAGAGAGACCGCAAAGCTCTTGCCACTGCCAGTTTGGAAATCTCAATAATTCCCTTTTCCTACAGAAAATAAAACAAATATAACATTTAAAGACACATACTGCTATTTAAGCTATTTTCATAGGAATTATTTGTCGCTATGCTGCACTAGCTATTTCAGTTTGCTAGATAGCTCCTGGTATTAATATTCTAATATAGAAAATAATGCCTGTTAGTACAGTGGATTTAATCCGCACAATATTCATATAAGTTTCACAAAATTTTATTAGGTTCAATACCTTTTGACTTTGGATTGGTTTATTACCTAAGACATTTTTTCATTTTTGTTTCTGGGGAGACTTGCTCTTATTACTAAAATAAGTGGAAACATTTTATACATACATATATAAATTTGTTAAAATATTTACACTCTCACTGAGTGTGTGTAAATTTATGAGAAAATTCAATATATAAAAATAGAAATTTATCACAACAACATATGTTAATATTTTCTAGATGTATGATATGGGGCAGAAGATTTTTTTTAACATCTTAAAAGTGTTCATATTCTAATCTGTTTGAAATCAAGAAATAAGTCCCTTTAAGGCTAATTTCAGAGATTTCTGGTCTCTCAGGATATAACTGACATTTTTAGGAAAAGGAGATACACAACTTTCCTAAAAGAAAAATTGTAATAAAGTGCTAAATTCTTTTACAACTTCAAAAAGAATTTCAATTAAGATGATAAACTAACAAGACTTGAGCATTATTAATTTAGAATTATGCATAATTACTGATGTATAGGAAAAGATAGTTTGTTCTAGTACCTATTTAACATGGACTATTTATGTACTTATTAAAGACATAAGGTTTGATGGATTAGGAAACCAGAAATACAGAATTTTAAGAACCTTAAAGTACTAGTAAGATAACATCTGTGTTAGTCAGGACTTTAAAGGAAATCTCAGATGTTAATTTCTTATTCAAATGAGGCCAAAACAAGAAGCCAAAGGTTGCTACATATAACTGTTCTTCCATATTGTTTTATTTATTTATTGACCCTGCTTCATGCTCCCTTAAAGAATTTCAGACTTGCAGATACGTCTAAAGACATAGGTAATCATTTTGGGAAGATTTGATGGTCAGGCACACATTAACCATATACTCCCTGGTCACAATCTGCTGGTACATAGTCAGACCTAAATTGAAAGGAGGCTGGGATTTGAATTCTATTTACATGCCTGGAGGACAAGAAAGTGCCTTTGGTGAGCATGCATCCAGTCCGCACAACATGCTATCTAGTGCCTGACTTTCAGAAAGTTTTAAATCACCCACACTTCAGTATCTGCAATGCCCAGGGAACTGGAAAAACAATTGCAATGTTTCATTTCTGTCCTTTAAATGCTACTGAAAACTTTAATTTAAAACTGTTTCCTGGTTTTGGTAATCAAATAAGCAGGGAATCATAAAAATAGGAAATGTGACAGCTGGAAGGCATGGTCACTCATTTTGCAGATGTAGACAAGAAGGGTTGGAGGGATTTACTCACCTGATCAAGGTGATAAGTGAGAGAGAGCAATTTTTTAAAATTCTCAACTGATGATGAGATAAGCAGTAAAACCTTATGAGGTAATAAATAGAAAATAAGATTGGTTCAAGGACACATGGATTTTACACTATAAATTTACAAGTTTAAAGTCATAAACTTGGTGCATAAATCTAGATACATTATTTTCTCTTTCTGAATCTTACCTGCCTTATCAATGAAGGATTTGAATGAGAATTTTTTAAGTTTCTCTTCAGAGCTCTCATTTTATAGACCACGTCATAAACAGTACAAATACAAACATGAGATATTAACGTAAAGTAAAATGTATTCATATTATCGTTATTCAGTTATTTCACTTCACCCAGCTCATCTTTAACTCTCCTGTTTTGTTGTCCTTTAAAAAGTAAAGATATGTTTAAAAGATACCTCATTTCTCTTGTTCTTCATGTTTTCCATTGTAAATGACCAGGATGACTCTAGTTCATTGCTTCTGTTGCTTTAAGAAGTTATTTCCAGATGTACACATAGTATTATCAGAGAAGTCTGCATTGAGTTAGTTTCTCTGTTCTAAAATCTGAATTTAAAGGCAAAAAACAACTAGAATATTATACTTCCTAAGGAAATATAATTATGAGTTAGCATTGAATAAATGTTTAAAATGAATACTATATAGTGTTTTTACCATACAAGAATATTCCGTAATGATATTTTTCTTATACTCTATTTTAGGCTTAGATTTAGATTTCAGTATTGAATAGTTCCTATGGCTTTGAGGAAAATAACAGAGGGCTGATGCCTTCTCTTTGATCTCAGGCTTATGAGTTAAAGCTTGAAATTTGATTACCCTCATTATTTTTGGCTGGTATAATTATAAATGTGATTAACAGTAATAAAATATAATTGTACTGCTCATGAAACCAACCAGAAGTTTTTCCACCTTAAAAATTCACCAGTTGTCTTCTCTGAGCAGGGCACTATTTATATTTCTTTAAATTTTATATTTTAGCTATTTTTTTAAAATCCATTATCACTTTTCAACCCTAGTACCTCTTTGGTGCATTTCAAGTATCTCAATATTAAATCAATGCTAAGTCAATATTGAAAGTCCTAATTTAGTATTAATTCATTATGGTGAATTATGAGTTTTTCAAACATCTAGTTCTTACATTTTATTCTGCTGTGATGATACTAAGGTAAATAGATATAGTTTCTGATGGTTCAGTGTAGGATCAAAACAGGCTTTATGACAAGTATTTGCAATAAAATCTGGCTAGTGCTATAATAAAAATATTCCCCCTTAACTATGAAAATCTCTGGGATTGTAACTGGGACAATAGCATCCCAGATGGATTATTAATATACCTAATAGAAAATGATCAGGAGACTTGGAAAACTCTAGTCCAGAGAAAAGAAGTAAGTAAAGTACAGATTCTAGCAGTAAATATTATCACATGAATGCAAGCAATTAAGTAGAAGTAGAATCATTTAGGTGCAGTGGTGAGCTGGAGCTGATCCATACTATTCACAAGAACTGAATATTTGTTTCTTTTCCTAACATTGTCTCCAATGACATTGGGGTCAGGCCAGAACTGAGAATATGAACCCTACCCTGTCCTAGAAGTCACTTTTCTGTTGATACACTCCTAAGGCCCATGGTGATGGGTTGCTTGATGCTTAACAAGATATTTTTCTTTCTTCCAAGGATGCCAGTAATGCAGTACCTGAAATACACCCACATGTCATTTTATAATAATTGATAATATGGAAGACAGCAACTGCTCCAGTAATATTATCAATAGTCTAATGTTTGATTAATTCTAGACTGACTGGGTCCCTATTCCAGAAATGTATCAATAGTTTTGTAATCCATAATACCTAGACTGCTCATTGAGACCTTGGACATGAGAGCAGAAGCTCTCCCCATTCCTGCATGTTCCCACATTTCTTTCTGTCCTATGTAACAGGCCTTCACTTGCTGGTCCAGAAGGCAGCCTGGTTTGAGTACTAGCTCTGCTGCCCTCCCGGCGTGGTGTCACTCACTAACAAAATGCTTCCTTAGTGGAAATAACCACATGGTTAAGAGTCTGGTTTTCTGAGCATTGGCCAGGAAATCTGGTTTGGTCGGTAACAACACCACTTTGATAGTTTCATATTGGTCATGATGGATATTAATATGATGGAAATTTATAAATTTCTCATTTTGTCCTCTCTCTTTCTTTATTCTGGAGATTGGTAGCTAAATATTCCTCAAAACACCACTGCTTTAAAAAATGAAACTAGGGCCTCCCCAGTGGCGCAGCGGTTGAGCGCTGGGTTGCAAAGCTGCCTGCAGCCTCTGTGGCGCTGGTTCGATCCCCCCGGCCACCGGTGAGAGTCCCACATGGCACGCAGACCTCTCCTGCCGCCACCTCTCCTGCCACCTGCTGCTCCCCTCAGCAGTGTATTTCATCAGTCTGTCTGTTCTGCTCCCTGCTCTGGCTCTGGTGAATTCTTTCAACCTCCCGTGCTTCTGAATGTACCTAGTACTTGTATAAATAAGTAAATAAATGTTTGAAAAAAAAAAAATGAAACTAGACCATTATCCCTCATCGTGTACAAAAATAAACTCAAAATGGATAAAGGAACAGGACAGAAGACCTGAATCCATAAAATATATAGAAGAAAATATAGGTAAAACACTACAAGACATACATTGCAATAACATCTTTAAAGACTCATCACCCAAAGTGAAGATAGTCAAGGGAAAGATAAACACCTGGAATTACATCAATCTGAAAAGTTTCTGTACAGCAAAAGAGACATTAACTAAAACAGAAAGACACCCCACTGATTGGGAAAAAAATCTTTGCACTCCTTCAACTGATAGGGACTGATCACAAAGAATAAATAACTCACAAGACTCAACAAAAACAAAATAAAGAATCCAGTAAAGAAATGGGCAGAAGAACTTAAAAGACATTTCTCCAAAGAGGAAATGCAAATGGCCAACAGGCATATGAAAAAATGTTCAACATCCCTTGTAATCAGGGAAATGCAAATCAAAACCACACTGAGATACCATCTTACACCAGTAAGAATGGCACATATCAAAAAAAACAAGCAACAACAAATGTTGGCGAGGATGTGGTGAAAAAGGAACTCTCCTACATTGCTGGTGGGAGTGCAAACTGGTCCAGCCACAATGGAAAGCTGTCTGGAGGTTCCTCAATCTACTAAAAATGGAACTACCATATGACCCAGCAATTCCACTCCTAGGGATCTGCCCAAAGGACACAAAAACATTGATTCAAAAGACCACCTGCACCCCTATGTTTATTGCAGAACTATTTACAATAAGTAAAACCTGGAAACAACCCAAATGCCCCAAAATAGATGACTGGATCAAGAAGATATGGTATATATATACAATGGAATATTATTCAGCAATCAAAAAGATAAACTCATGACATTCACAGCAACATGGGTGGAGCTAGAAGGAATTATGCTCAGTGAAATAAGCCAGAAGGAAAAAGAAAAATATCGGATGGTTTCACTTATTGCAGGAATAAAAGAGAACCAAATAAGACATCAGTGTAAAAAAATATTAACAGTACAAAACACAACAAAGCAAAAATAGACAATTATAAATTAGAGACATACTGTAGTGGAGGAGGTGGGAGAGAGATCAGAGGGAGGGAGGGAGGAGCACAGGGGACTGAGGTGATGGTGCAGGAAACTCTATGGGGACTACACCTGAGGGGAGGGGTAAACAAATATTGTCTAAAAGTGAACAATTACATAAAAAAAAATTAACACCACTGCTTTTGTTATGAAATATTTTCATTAGGGTGTGCACACAAAAACATGCAGAATTATGATGCAGCTACTTGTGGGCATGAGTCTCAATGTTTGTGTTTTGCACATCTTCACAGGGGGTATGTCTATACGCTAAAGCTTGAGAAACATTGACAAACATATGATGGGAATCCATTCAGCATTCTGAGATGGAAAGTGATTGATGATTTGTAGTGGGGATGAAACTGGTGACCTGGAAGCCAGTAATTTTGTGTTAGTAGAGCTTCTCTTCCCTTCTGGGAATACTAAAATTGATAGTTTGGAGATTGGGTAAAACAAAAAGGTATACCTCAAAATCTGATGTTGTGTCTATGTGCTCTTCTATAGAGTTTCAGGGGTTGAAGAAAAGTAACAGAGGTAATCTGGAAGGGAGAACTTTAATTTTTCCCCAGGTCCAGAAAAGACATCCTACAGCATAGGCAAGGAAGCATTTGTCTTCTTTATTGTAGCATACTAACACGAGTGGCTACTGTTGTCAAAGTCTGGAATGTTTATAGAAGAGGATTTACAAGAGAGCAATGGAGTATCTTACAATCACAGGTTCAGAAAGTACCTGATTGAACTCCACAATGTGATGCTTAGGCATTAGGACAAAACTGTGCTTAAGCTAAGCTGGAAAAGAGCTGTCAACACTTTATAAACTGTTGAAATAACTTCTTTATCAGTAGAGCATTGCATTGCCTCGCCACTTAACTTTCACAACTTTATCTTCTTTTGAACTATTTAATTTCTTATTATGATCTTGAGTGCTTGGCAGATAGATGCATATAAAATGACATAATGGACCTTTTATGGGCTATTCAACTGGTGATCTTTGAACTCTCCAAGTAGTCTGTGAAAAAAAAAAAAGCCATTTAGCACAATTTTTAAAGCAATCTGCATTCGAAAACCACCCTGATGGTGTATTTATTGGTTCTAGTAAAACATTATACATCATTAAAGTTTTTTTAAAAAGATATGAGAATCTGTCAAATTTATAATGAGTGACTATATTCCATTCAGGTCACTGACCATAAATCTCATGACTGAAGTTCTGGTATATTACCTTTCCCACACTCATTTTGGCTGTACTCTAGGGGTCTAAAAACATTCAAGTTAAATAAACTAGTAATGTAACTATAGTTCAGATACTTATTTAAATATTAAAATCATAAACTGAAGAACCCTTACATTGGTCAAGATTGGAATGTGAAATACAAACTTCCAACTGTACTTGTCCCAAGGACAAAGTTTCTAAATGTCTGTAATAGTTTGGATGAGAAGACTCTAGTTGCTTAAAACTCCTCTCTTAATAAGAGGCAAAAGGGCATGGATAATTTACCTTAAAGTCTTAGTGGCCAGTGAAAGTCCAGGATAAGATTAGGAAAAACTCATTTTAAGAACTGTAAAGATGGGAGATTTTACCATATTTGTAAGCTAAAAAACTTCTACTGGGGCCTCCCTGGTGGCGCAAGGGGTTAAGACGCAACCTCTGAAGCTCGCTGCAGCCACTGCAGCATGAGTTTGATCCCAGGCCAGGGAGCTACCCACATGGCACAGCAGACCTCTCCTGTCTTGCCCTCTGCTCCCCTCAGCAGTGTATTTCAGTCAGTCTGCCTGTTCTGTTCCCCACTCTGTCTCTGGTGAATCCTCTCACCCCCCACACCTGTGGCCTGTACCCCAGTTCTTGTATGCTTAAATAAATCTTAAAAAAAACCCTTCTACCGCATAGGTGCTAGCTGGGAACAACTCTGAGTCAGAGAGAAGAGACGTCATCACCCACAGCTCTGCGACAGCATGAGCTTCAACATTTGCTTCAGATTCCTTTGCACTGTGAGATGGGCAGACCCCACAGGACCCTTTGCAAACATAATGGTTCCTATTTCCCACTTTTTTATGCCTTTGTGCGATGCTCTCACCTGAGTGTAGGTAGGATCTATGATTTGTTTTTAGCCAATAAAATATGGGTGTTCTCTCTTCTTCCTGGACATCCATGTTTAATTCATTCCTGAGGTTTGGGAAATGTTCAGCTGTTACATCTTTGAATAGGGTCGCTGCTCCTTTCTCTCTTCACCTTCTGGAATACCCAGAAGGGGTAGATATTTGTGGCAGATATTGTGGCAGATATTTCTAATTGTGGCAGATATTTCTCATAGAGTTTCCTCATTTTTCTATGTCATATTTCCTTCTTTTCTAATTGAGTGATTTGTACATCTGAGTCTTCTATTTCGGAGATTCTACTGCCAGTCATTCTATTTAAAGCATTTTTCATTGAGTCTCTTTTTGTGTTAATATTTTTAATCTCTTGGGTGAAGAACTGTCTTTATTTCTGAATTTCCTTTCTAAGATTTTGTACCTGACTAACTACCTTTAACTGACTTTTTAGTCATTCATTTAGCTTTTTTAATTTGTTGTTTGAAAGTCTTTGCCCTCTATTTCTGTACCCCTTGTATATGTCCCAGAATTTCTGTTCCTCTCATTCATTTTGCTTTTCCATCTTGTGTTCAGATATTCCTTGTTTCATAGTTGTGTGTGTTTTTTTTTTTTTCCTACTTTTTTGTGGTTAGGACACTGGGTTTAGTTTTGTTTGTTTCTTTTCTTAGTTTACCTTGGTATGAGGCAGGGGCAGGAGAGTAGTCTGAGGCTTAAATACTTGATCTCAGTTTTATTGAGGAGTGAGGTTGGTCACCTGTTTCCTTCTCCCTCTCCACAGCAAGTTCTCTTTGTTGCTTCAGTTGTCCTAACTTACCATAACCCATCTTTCTGATGCGTCCTTCAGTGGATTGTGATCTATAATGCTTGCTTCTCTTGGTGAGAGGGCTGG